GTTTTGCACTCGTCGAGAGCGAAGTTATCGAGATTGTGAATCGCTGTGATTTATAGCGTGTATTAAAGTTGTTAAGTTTAAAGTGACAAGAAACGTACTCATTGTGAAACTACTGCATACTAAAAGTTTGTATCGAGAACTAATAAACTGTTTTAATCTAGAAAGAGCTTGTATCGCTTAAGATCCTCGGAAAGAATTTCTACCAGAAACAAACAAACAAGCAGATACGCAACAGTACCATAAGATCTGCATCTTCTTACAATACACCTACAACAGCTCTTAAAAGTATTTCACATGTCAGAAACTGTAACTGAAGTCATTGACAGATACATAAGCAGTGACTCAGTGAAGAGTGCAGAAAAACATCACTATGTAGGGTTCACAGTTGGGTGTAAGCAATATCAGGTAATTGGTGGTTGTCCTGTGTCTCCACGGAATGTTCCTGAATGTAGCTGCTAATAAATACACACTAGTGAAGTTCCTCTGTAAATACATTATTAAAAAAGCATCGGAAAAACTGGAAGCACATCCAACAAAAACTTTTTCAAACTAGAAGCTTCTCTAATGGAGAAGAAATAAGATCTATTACCAATTAGTATTGACAAAGCTAATTACTCTTGCAACACTTAAGAAGCTTTAGGGATGCTTCAAATCAAAGCATCTTTTATAATTAGATATAAGTTTTTTTATGCCTTGGCATATACTACTTTTCAAAAATAAAGCATGTAGATATGTGAATTGAAAGTGGCACTACCACTCATACAACTGACAAACACCAATTTATCTCTGTACATTTGTATTTGGAAGAAATTAGTTTTTAACATATATTCAAAGCAAAGGGTGTTAGCCACATGAAAGATCTCATATAATTGAGAGAAAATAATGAAGAAGTTGGGATTTCTGCAGTAAAAAAGCTAAAAGCAGTGCTGTATGATTAAAGTGTAGAAGAAAAGAAGACACACATAGAACTGAATCACACCTGTCTACATTTAGACACACTACAAGTTTCAAGCCCTTAACCAAACTTCCACCTGATAAAGTACATTTTAAAAAGCATAAGAAAGAGCTTCTTCATAAACTTCAGATGAAACGCATTTTATAAGACCATAGATTCTCTTATTGCTGTACTCACTACAAGATATAGAGCAGTCATGGCTATTAATCAGACTTTTTCTTTTTTGCAGCAATATCTAGATATATCAGAAAATGATCTACATTCAAAAGACTACGAAATTTTTTGCAAAGTATAGATCTAATGTGTTAGAAGACTTAGTGCAAGAAATTAAACATCAAAAGGCCATCCACAAAGCTAACTGGTGATACTGCATTAAATTCTTTAGATCTTTTAAACAAACTGCACAAATTCAAGCTTCATCCATTTTTCACAAATGTCTCTGTAGCCCTTTGCATTTTCTTCACAATTCCAGTCACAGTTGCTAAAGGGGGGGAGATCTTTTAGCAAGCTGAAGCTGATAAAATATTATCTGCGCACCACCATTGCCCAAAAACGACTGACAGATCTGGGAGCCCTTGCAATTGAAAACCAGTTAGCCTGTACTTTGGATTTTAATAGAATCACTAATCACTTTGCCAGACAGAAGGCAAGGAATGTACACTTTGGGTGAGGGTTCTCATAAAGTGATCAGTTAGCTAATGTTTATAAAAACTAAACCTAGGTTTATGGCCAAAATGACTGTTAGCGCTGAGGGTACCCAAATGATGAAAAAAAAATGCATTATAATTTTTATATTCTTATGCATAAAGACATGAAAGAAAAGTATATTTAACTTGGTATACTCAATACTGGGTTGATTTTTATCTTCGAAATAAGTAAGTAGCTTACTTTGACTAGTAATTACTGTTAAAATCTTAGGTGCTTAAAAAAATGCATCTTTTTATACAAACAGTATCACAAGGAATTCTAGAAAAGATAGTTGCTAACAAGCTAAATGTCAGTTAATCTATTATTTAAGATAAATTTTTAAATTGATAATAAAATTTCCCCTGCTTAACTCCCACATGATATGGGCATATGGCCATAACCAATCATGTAATATATTTATTCATGATGGATTTTTAAGGTGATGAAATATTTTAGTGGAGAATAGCCTTAATGTTTTAGAAAACTTCATTTCAAATCAGGCTATTTTACTTGATTACCTTGACTAATTCTGTTTGTTAGGAAAAAACCCCATAAAAGTACATATGTAAAAAGTGATATAAAATATACCTTTTTCAGTAGAGGACTCATAAGAGGAAGAAATACTTGGGGAATTTTCTTCTTTAATGACACAAAATTGTCCAATAATGCCTAGATGAAATAAAACATATTCATGAAAATTTATGTAAATATTTTTTCAATTTATTCAGTGGGAGATATGTCACAAGTAAACAATAGTTTGAACCACACCAACATATGATATAAACAGCTTAAATGAAACATGAAGTAATTTGTTTCTCTTTCATTTTCATACATAAATAGTTTCATGAAAGTCAAATGTAAATTTTTTTTCTAATTAATACACAGTAACTACATATTTGAAATATATTTAATAAAATTCTCATGGGTAAAATTGTTATTTGTAAGAAAACACTATTACATTTATTTAAATATCTTAAGTATCACTGATTATTTATCATTTCAAATATATACATAGTGACAAATAATTTGAGACATAAGAAAAAAAAAGAAAGAGTGAGGGAAAGAGAGAGAATGGGATTTCTCTTAATATTATTGATCCAAGAGTTTGATTTTATGTATACAATGAGTTCTAACTTGTCTTATTTTTATCAATTATTTATATCTGTTACTTAACTTTACCTACTGAAGGAGAAAGAATATCCAAGGTTACCACTGATGTCTTACTGCACCTCAATCTACCCCCTTTTTGGTCTTTGTTGTCAAACAAACAATGGTACTGCAACTATGTCTGGACAATACTCTGGTGCACAAGCTTTTCTTTGAAAAGAACAGCCACTGGCTTTTTATGTATGTTGTGGTCTTCTTTGTGTAAATCTCATTACTCAGGCAGCTTGTACGACCTCTCCTGTGATTTGGGATTCTCTGCATTAGGTTCATGAGTTGGGAATGCTTATTTGGACAATTGGGGAAATTCAAGGAAATGTTCGGGGTAATACTAAAGTTTGAAAGTGGATCCTCCACTACTTTGAAATTGCTGAGACTACAAGGTGGACTGTTCATATCCCAGCCATTTAGTCAGTGCTCAACCAGTATGAACCAATGTTGCTTAGTTTGGAAGTGATGGCTTCATCTAGTGCATCCGATTCAGCAACTAAAGCAAATGGGCTTCTGGAAAGATTTTAAAAGGGGAAAATGATTCTAGGACTAGTTTTAGCCATTGAAGTGATGAAGGAATTGGAGTGCCCGAACATCTCTTTGCAAAAAAAAAAAAACCCACACCATTGCTGAAATGCTTGCAGCAGTGGAGTATGTCAAAACCTCTCTTCAAGAAAAAAAAGAACAGAGGAAAGCTTTAGCAAAGTATACAATAAAGCAACAGTACTAAAACACTCCTTAAATATCTAGGCAATTCAAATTCCACACAAGAAAACTACCGAAACGCTTTACTGGTGATGCTGTTGCACATGCACCTACAAATCCTTTGAAGTATTACAGAGATGAGTACTACAGGGTGTCCAAACCATAGGTGATTTGTGTCTTTTCTTAATTTCAGATACATAACTGATTAAGTCATTGTCAAAGCATGAGAAGGTCAAGTTAATCCAAACTTGTTTTGAATTACAAGGACAACATGTGGAACACATTCTGTAAAATGTGTTGAAGTGCCTTTGGTTTCAGACTTTTTGGAAACCCTGTAAAAGCTGCTAGACACTGTAGATGTGCAGTTCAGAGAACTTTTCAATTAAAGAGGCCAGTAGTCTCCTGACAAATTGGAGAAAATTCTCCTCACTGGAAAAACTGACAGTGTTGTGGAACAATACACAAAATTAACTAGGAAGTCATTACATGTATAGTTAGCCATGTTCATCTCAAAATACTCCTACAGTTCCAGCATTGAAGCTGCAAAAATCTTGAGAGAAATGCTGCCTGAAGTCTGTGGCCTTTTTGTTCAGGTTGAGAACCTTGTGAGGTTATTGTTAATTATCCCTGCCTTTTCTGCTGAACCTGAAAGGAGCTTCAATACCATTAGAAGGCTGAAGACCTAGCTTCATAATTATATAAAATAAGGTCACCTAAACAATGTAGCCATTTGCTACATTCATTAAGAATAACTTGATTACTTAGAAAGAAAAGCACTCAGCCAGCAATTTATTGCTGCAAATGACCAGTGCAGAAATGTTTTTGGATATTTTCTTTAGAAAAACAAGGAAGTTCTTGTTATCTACTAGTTGGCAAGAGCAATTGGAAAGTTAAATATACAGTAAATTAAGCTACAGCGAAAGAAAAAGAAAAGCCTTATCAGAATTAGATTGTAATGTATTTTCTTCTAAAGACAAATATGGTTATGCTTTTAATTTTTTTCTATAATGGTTATGGTTATCTTACTTGCATAACAAAATAGGAGTTTTCACAACATGGGGACCATTCTTGATATTGCCATACTGTGCAAGTCCAGATCACAAAAATCAATATTGGTATAAGTTGCAGGAAATGAGGAATTAATACATATAAATTGTGTCTGTTGCAATAGTCAAAATATATACCATAACAAAGAGGTACAGATAATATATTAAACTTATTTCACACAATACTTTATTTCTACTCAAAGAGTAACAGTTTCATTCCTGCTATTTTTTTTCAAATGCATTTTAACTGGATAACATTTCAACTAAAGTTTATACTGTATCAATCATTAAATCAGGAATTTGATTTATTCTGTTTCCCTCCAGTTACCTTAAATGTTACTTATGTAAGTGTTATTACTGTTTTATATAAGTTGTATCGATACCTAAATATTATGCAAAGTGTAATATTATAAACTGGTTCTGTTTGAATTATGCAACTATATCTAAGAAAGTTTTAAAAGACTGTAACTGTTGATAGAGCTGTTATTCAGTGAATGTTTGCATTAATATAAGGTATAAAGGAGAAAAATTAATACGGAAAAGGACTCTTTTACAGAATGTCCTCCAACTTGCAAAATAAAAGTTTTGCTCCTGATATGAAACACCTAGTAAGCTTTTATATCACAACAGCAACCTTCCCCGTCACTATTCCAAACTTTGAACTCTTTAATATTCCCATTTTGTCAATTCTAATGTAATCACATACTCAAATAAATGTTTTATATTTTTTCGGTGAATTTGGATTTGAATAAGATATCATTATGGAATAATACTGAATCTCCAAATAAATAAGTCATTAGAATGAAATAATGAGATGGGATACAATCCTTATTAAAACACAAACATTGTGTGTGTACACTTGTTTTGGGCATTGGACTGTTGCTTTTATTGGATTTTCTGTCATATTACTTACTCTTCAAGATTGTGTACCTGGCTGTTTAACCCTCTCTGCATGGGTATCCTTTACTTCGCATGTCACATGGTTTTTAGTCATTTACATTCAAAATCTAATTAAACTACTTTTTGTTTATGTTATACCAATTGGTATAGTATAAAATTGTAGCTAATAATCCATATTTTAATATAATATGTTTTAAATTCGTAATTTTATAAGGCAATATAAAAAAAATCCTAAATTTCCCCTAATGTGAGAAATGTGACATTTTTTCTCTAGGCATCCACTCTTCTCTAATTTATTCATCATCCCTCCAATAAGTATGAAATGTAATGCAAATAACTCACTGTAATATCATCATTGCTCAGACAAAGCATAATTTTTATAGCCTTCTATCTCATTTGGTTACAGAGCCATCAATAGAAAATCAGACCACATGTAACATGCTCTCTTTCAGGATTTGTCAATAGTTATCTATTACGCTTAATACTATAGTATTTATAACCAATAGAAATCCAATATTTTCATATATCAAATAACATATTACATTATATTGTTTTCTGTACAGAGAATCATCAATTTCTCTTTCAGTACAAGCTTTGTTCCCACGGTAAACATATCGACTAGCTTGGATGAATTTGTAATGGCTCTTGTCACATAGTTAGAAAGCCAGAAGAATTGTGATAGTTATGGGACATTGTCTGCTTTTTGCATGTTAACTGGTGCATTATTTAATTAAATAAAAATCATTTTGTGCACTATTACCATCAGTAAGAAAAAAAGTAGGGCTAAGTGTCAATGACAGCCTACAGCAAAAAAACTACCCAGGTAAGTACTTTATTTTTTGTTTTTCGTGTTTATTCTTTACTTAGGCTACTTAAGGTTAGATTAGGTAAAATAAATAATAATAATAATGTCACATTTTCACAACATATAATGCATGACATTGTCAATTTTACCAATGCACAACTGTTCAGCAACATTGTAGAAATGTCATGTGTTAGCTGAGTAATAGCATGAATGGCATTTAGACATGGTTCAAAGGGCAATAAAACAATAAGATTTAAATATTAATAGATGTATACTGTTAAGAGTTTAAAGCTACTTAGGATAAACAAATTTGAAGTTGTTCTAGAAAGAAAAAAGGGTAATTTAGAATTATTTGGATTTTTTTTTTGGTGGTTACGAGGTCAGTCAAATTGACCAATCTTTTATAAAGTTAAGGTAGAGAGAACAACAGGTCCAATATAAAGTTTTACTGAAAAAAGCTTGAAATGTATTTAGGAGGTTTTACACAAATGAAATTTGAGATTTAAGATGAAGAAAAGTACTTTTAATCTTAACATGAAAACCACTTTGCATTTGTACTAGTTAAAAAAAAAGACTAGATATATTCACAGGCAAATATTTTTTAGTTTATTAAAAGTACTTCACTAAAAATCTGCTTTTTGTATGTAAAATATTTGTAATGTTTACTGAAGGTCTGCCAAATTTTGTGAAGATACACATGCTATACTAAAAGTTAGTAGTATCAAAACTATAATGAGTACAAAGTGGTCACTTGGTCGGTCAATTCGACCAAGCCTGTGTAGAGAGAGTTAAATCCAATATTTCTACTTCACAAGAAATACTACATGTAGCCAGAATGACTTGTGCTATCCATATGTCTGGTCATTCTTATTTAAACCTAGGTGAGATGATCATAACCTTGAATCACCAATGCTATACCACTGAAAGACATTGCTGTTGACATTCTTGCACAAGATGCTAAATTATAGCAACACTGTTAGACCTGCCTACCCATAAAGTTTGCTCTCAGTAGCATTTGCCTATCAAATTGTAAATTTTTTGTAACAAAAAGGGATTTG